CCACAAATTACATTTTACCACAACAGATTAGAAAACTGCCGTGCCTTGACTCCCTTCCCCCCAAAAAGAGATAACAATTTCTACTCTGAACCTAAATTTGACTAAGAACTGAGGAATTAGTTGGTAAAATGGAGAAGTGGTAGAAATGTCAGGGAAAGGCAGCCATGTTATCCTGGAGTCTGGGTAGTCAAATTTATCTCCTAGACTCTAACTTATATCTTACAGGATCCTATACTTAAAATGAATTGAAATATACTCTTCTCTAAAAAGTGACAGAGCACACAAAGGTCTAATGATAAACACAGGAGCCCAGAAAGGCTCTAGTGCAGAAAGACCATCCGAGCTGAGTCTTTCAGGGTGGGGTAGGATTTGAACACGTGGAGACAGGAGAAGGGACAACATGAACAAAGCTCCAAAGGTGGGACAGTTTAAAGTTTGTATATTAATTTGGTTGGTGGGTATAGTACACACAAGGGAACAATGAGAGACAAGGCTGGAGTTTGAATACTTGGTTAAGGAATATGAGCTTATATTATAATGAACACTAAGCCACAAAATGTCTTTAAGCTGAAAAGGGCAGGATCAGTGCTGTGTTTCAAGAAGGTTAATCTGCTGGTAGTATGTAAAGTGGATTGGGAAGGGAAAACATGAAAGGCATTTAGACAAGTCAAAATACTGTTGCAATATTAAAGGAAAGAGGTAAAAAGGGCCCGAACTAAGAGAGTGATAAACAGAATGGAGAGTAGAAGGTACATGCAATGCCCGTAGTTACTACGGGGATAGAACAGATGAGGCTAAAGTCACTGGGTACCGACACCATGGGAAAAAAACATGTGGTAGCCAGGGAAATGCTTCAAGAAGATTAATCTGGTTTAATGAGCAGGGCGAATTAGAAGAGGGAGAGATTGGAGGTAAGGAAGCTAGTTAGAAGTTTATTAAAGGCTTGGTGCAAACAAGCAGTGGGAATGGGAAGGAAAGGACAGTTACAATTCATGTNTGGAGGTAAGGAAGCTAGTTAGAAGTTTATTAAAGGCTTGGTGCAAACAAACAGTGGGAATGGGAAGGAAAGGACAGTTACAATTCATGTTGAGAAGAAAACTGATGTGGCTTAGTGATGACGTGGGTGTAAAGGGTGCGAGGGCTGAAAGTGACCGAAGTTTCAAGCCTGAGTGAGTAGACTGTGGTGGTGCTGCTATTAACAGAAAGACAGAAGTCAGAATGAGAAGTTAGCTGGAGGGGAAACATCACAGTGAGAAACAGAAGGCAAGAATGTTACCTGACATGAGGGAGCTGGCAACATCAGATTTTAAAAGAACGTATGACAAAGTTGTTAAAGAAATGCTAAAAGCTTGTACAAATAGGATCAGGAGTAGGAGTAGGGAATTTAGAAAGAAGTTGAAAGCATTGGCCTTGCAACCCGCAGATTCAGATTCTGAGTTAGCCACTTTGGTAGTTGTGTGACCTTTGGTAAATCACTTGATCTCTTCAGACGTCAGTCTTCCCCATTTGTAAAAACAAAATCAACAGTCCCTATTCTCACAGGGTTACTGTGAAGATTAAATGAGGTAAAGTATGCAGAACACTTGGTTAAGTGACTAACAGTGAGATGAACATGCTGGGACACATATCTTTGCTCCTTTTCTGATTGTTTTCTTGGGCTCGGCAGTGGAATTAAAGTGTGGAAGGGTATCACTTTCCAGAACACGTACACTCCCTCTAGCTGTGTATTAAAATGCCATTATATTTGGTTTTGAGCTTCTAGCAGCCAAACAAGAGGAAAACTAGGTCACTTAGAAAATCAAAAGCCAAGCTGGGAGTTCTAGTCACAGAGCTCCCCCGAAACAGGGCCCAGGTTGTTGGGTGTAGCATTGTTAATGTACTTGAGCTTTCCTAAGAATCTGTTACTGAGAACCAAGATGCAGAACTGTAGTAGGGAGAGACAAGACATGCTTAGGAGACAGGCAAGACGTACTCCTCACTAAATCTGGTGGCTAGAGGGGATCCACAAACCAACATCACCTGGCTCATCCCTGTCTAGCAGGGAAAACTGACTGTCCTGGAGCCACCACCAAGAGCTCTATACAAAAAAGAAAAAAAAGCTTTCATGATACAAAATGAAGAAATAGAAAATGAAAAATGAACTAGAAGGATTCACAACCAAATTCATGGTTGGTAACTGCAGGGGGTAAGGCAGAGGTGGGAATGTGATGACATTTGGGATCAAAGGTACTTCAAATGTGTTGGGGTCTATTTTATTACATACATAGAAATACACATAAAGTCTAAAAGCAAATATGCCAACATATTAACAAGTCTCAATTCTGGCAGGTAAGAAAACTTTGTACTTTATGCTTATCTGTATTTTTAGCTTCTTTAAAATTAAAAAAAGAAAAAGAAAATAGAAGAGATTGTTGTAGGGGATGGTGCACTAGTAAAGGACTCCTGGAGAAGATGAGGTTTGAGGTGAACTATAAAAAATGAACTTTGGGTCTGGCCGGCATGGCTCAGTAGTTAAGCGTCAACCCATGAACCAGGAGATCACAGGTTCGATTCCCGGTCAGGGCACATGCCCAGGTTGAGGGCTTGATCCCCAGTGGGGGCGTGCAGGAGGTGGCCAATCAATGATTCTCTCTCATCATTGATGTCTTTCTCTCTCTCTTTCTCCCTCTTCCTTCCTCTCTCTGAAATCAATAAAATCATTAAAAAAAAAAAAAAAAGGACTTTGGGCCCTGGCCAGGTGGCTCAGTTGGTTGGAACATTTTCCTGTACAACAAAAGGTTGTGGGTTCAATTTCTGGTCAGGGCACATACCTAGGTGGGTTCAATCCCCAGTGGGGATGCATATGGGAGGCAGCTGATTGATGTTTCTCTCTCTCTCTAAAAATCAATAAAAACATACCTTCGGGAAAGGACTTTAAATGGCCTCAGCGGAGAGCTGCCAGGATCAAAGATTGAGGAGCTTTCTGTTTGGAAATAGTCCCTGTTGTTCTGAAGTCAGTTAGGGATATAAAAATTACCTCTGCGAAACACCCAGATTCCAATTCACGATAACACAGAATTGAAAGTTATATCGCTTATTACTAATAAAAGAGAAAGCAAAAATAACTTATTTCAGACTAAACAATTTGGAGTTTTTCATATGACTCAACCTCAAAAAAAAAAAAAAAAAAAAAAGCCAATGTCTGTTTAAAATATCATGTGCTATAAGACTATACTGAAGCCACTTGAGAGAAATTTCTCCAGAGTGATGTAGCAACTCCGAGATCCTGAGAAACTGGGTGGAGTAAATAGTAAACTGAGCTGTTTGGCTCTAACAGTCAGAACATATCTGTTGTCTCTGCTCTGCAAAGACAGGAGATGGGTGTTCTTCAGATAGGAAACAGGAACTCAGTGGGTGGACCTAAAAGGGAGTGTGGGCTTTGAAACAGGAAAAAAAGAAGTCTGCTTCTGATAGTGAAAGAGACACATTGCTGTGCTGTACTGACCATGCACATCCTGCTGGGTTGAACCTTTATTCTAGAGCCACTAGCTGTTATACACATCCTTGGATTGTATTGGCAGCTGTATTATTTTGCTTCGTAAGTGTATTATGTTTTCACATATGTGCTCCTTTAGCTTTGCCATTTCAGGAAATGGCATACACATACTTGTTCAAATCAGAAACCAAGCAGTTATTCTATATTTTCCTCTTCCTTGCTCCCCACATCCAATCCTTTACCAAGTTCTGACTCTTTCTTTAAAATATTTCTTTAACTGGTTTACCTTTCTCACCTTGACTTCCAACATTGGAGTCAAAGCTACCGTCATCTCTTGCCTAGATGACCACAATGCCCTCCTGCTTCATTTTCTTGTTTCCATTCTTGCCTCTGCCAGTTCTTTTCCAAATTTTGGCCCAAGCAATCTTTTAAAAACTTAGATGATTAATTTCTCAGGATTTCTTTCTGTACTTCAAGTCCAAAGTCCTTAATTTGGCCTACAAAGCTTTGCATGATTTGACCCCCAGTTACTGGTCCTCCCCACCTTGTGGCTCTCTCCTATCACTCTCATTGTTTCAGTCACAGTGGCTTTTGTTGTTGTTAATTCTCACCAGAGGATCTTTTTTTCTCATTGATTTTTAGAGAGAGTGGAAGGGAGGGAGGGAGAAAGAGAGAGAGAGGAAAAAAATTCCATCAACTGGTTGGATTGGTTGCCTCCCGCAGTCGCCTCAGCTGGGGCTGGGATTGAACTTGCAACTCAAGGACATGCCCTTGACTGGGAATTGAACCTGTGACCCTTCAGTGCAAGGGTCAATGCCCTAACCACTGGGCAACACTGGCCAGGGCCACGATGACCTTTTTACTCCCGATTATTCTCTCAGCTCTTTCTAACCTTGGGGCCTTTGCACATTCCTTTCCCTGCACCTGGTGTGCTCTTCCAGCCACCTTTCACCTGGCTAATTCCCATTTATCTGTCAGGTCTCAGTTTAAATGTCACTTTCACAGAGAGGTTCTCTTATAGCAACTACTCTTTATCCTTCACAAACTTCTCACAATTAAGAATATATATGTTCAATTCTGTCTCTTCCATTAGAGAGTAAGCTTCTTGAGACCATAGATAATGTCTATCATGTTAACCATTAAATATCTAGGGCTTAGCACAGTGTTTGGCACAGACTAGGTGCTCTTCATTTAAATGAACTGTAATGTCCAGCACAGTGTTAGGAAGAAATTAGGTTTTAAAATATAGTTACTTATGGAAAATTCTCTGTTGCCACTTAAATGTAAAAAATTAGGGCTTTGCAAATTTGGTATCATATAACCGAATTCACGAATTATTCTCTATAACATGAAACCAACAAAGGCAAGTCATACTTAATCCACATTTCAGAGTATTTCCAGTTTTTTTCTGGCCTTTCGAGGATTGGGACAGGTTTGGGATCAGGGCAGGATTAAGCTAAGTGCTTTTCTGTGGTTGGTACTTTAACATTCTTCCTCTTTCTCACCTGAGGACACAGATACTCACCAGCAGGCTGTGACACAAAGCATGGAAATGCTGCTGATTTGTCTCCAGCTCATCCCAGTCCAGCTGCCAACAGCTTGTGGGTCTGAGGATGAATGGGAGTCCATAAGTCACTGACTCGCAGATCCCACTGGATTTTAGAGCCCTGGGGAGAGACAATGGCAGTGAAAATCTCCTCAGTGATATCCAGAACCTCACCCAGATCCACTCAAATTCAGTAAGTCTAAGGCCCTATTGTGAAATCCTTTAGGTTAGGGACTGTGAATTATTTATCTGCATATGTCCAGTGCCTAGCAAGGTACCTGGCACATAGCACGTTCTCAAAGCTTGTTAGTCAATGAATGAAGCGGCCATCACGAAGGCTCAAGACTCTGATGGCTATTTCTTCTCCTGAGCTCATTCCATTCCAAGTGATGTCCCTGAGGATACTCCTGTAATATCCCTGCTACAGCAGCCATATAACACAATAGTATGCTAACCATCTGCCAGCTATTCCTGGCTCTTTTGTGGTGATGTGCTGACAGAGGATGCATCTAAGAAGAGCATGTATTTAAGAAGGTCCCTAGCAGCATCCATGGTCACAAACCCATGGATGAGCTTACTCAGATTCCTGTGTGTGGGCACTATGATTAGGAATTAGGAAGCAGTAAAAGTGACCTTTGTCATTATTGCTAATTCTGCCTTGGACTTGGTCTCCATCAAAGCAGGAATTCTAGTACTTAGAGCAGTGATTTTCAACTAGTGTGCTGCAAGAATTTTAAAACATGCAATAGCTGACTATTTAGTCAGGGGCACTGACCGCTTTTCCCTTAGATTGTCAAATAAAAAAATGACAACAGCCAGCACAACAATAGCTGTCTGGTGTGAGCAGGTCAAAATCATACCTATTTTTTTTTGTCAGATTGGCCAAAAAAATGTAATATATAGGGTATCCCCAAAATGTATGTGCAGTTTGAATAATTATTAATTCCAATGGCTTAAATCTGAAAAGAAAGAAACATCAATTGAGCTATCAGAAAAAAGTGTGTATACATTTTTTGGGACACCATGTATTTTTTGGTGTGCCACAGAATTTTAGTAATTAGTTTATATGTGCCATGAGATAAAAAAGGTTGGAAGTTGCTGACTTAGACAAATGGGAGGGCAGGGAAAGATCTATGTAACACTTGCTCCTTGATGGCCAGATCTCTGTCCTGATGCCTAAACACAGTGGGTATTCAATAAACATTTTCTGCTGACCTTGTTTCTCTCTGCATTCAGAGATTTCCTGGATTTCCAGTCCTCATCTGGACCTCAGAGTGTCCTACTGAGGCGCATCTCCACCGTCTGCTCATTTGTCTCCATGTGCCGAGCAGCCTGCTCCTGCCCGTTCATGCCCATACCTGTAGCTGCTGCTTTGGACCTGACTCCTGCCTACCTGACACTTGGGGATGTCCTCTATCCCTGGGCTTTCTAGCCATGGAACCCATAAGAATCAGCATTTGCATGGATTGGGGAGGTTTCCTGGATCCATACTTGATCACTCGGAGCTTGTAATAAGAGGCTGATGATTGGGAAGCCATCTGGTAGAGTGTGCTGAAGTCTCCTTTGGGGTCATCCATTTTCAGGGAGCCATCAGCTGTGCCAGGGAGGAGAGATGGGCTGAGAAGTCGCTCTTGAAGATCACATTTCAGACACACTATAATTAAAAAAAAAAAGGCATTGGAAGAAGGATGTTTATTACAAGTTACCTCAGGCTATGTGATAACATCTGCCACCCATTCTACCTCCACTAGTCAAGAATTGGGAGAAAGCAGGAGAGTGGAAAGAGGAAAATGAGATTGGTTTGGGGAGCTGGTCTGGAACCTACAGTATTGCCTCACACAGTAGGTAACATTTTCTGGGTCTGGCATGAATTTTACTTGTTTTACATCTGGGCTGGCTGAGCACTGCCCCATAGTGAGAGATCTGGCCTTGATCCAGTCTGAGAGGAACACGTGTCCTCTGGGGAGGAGGCAGCTAACACTACAATGTGCAGAGGCCCTTTGGCAATCACACAAGGAGATCTTGCCTCTGCTGCTTCCCTGTGGCTAAGCTTTGGCAAGACTACAGGTCAGATGAAAGCAGAGCAGGAAAGCAGAAGTCAGGCAGTCAGCTGACAGCTACTGTTCCTCTATGGACTCTTCTAGGGACATTTGGCACCAGGGGAGGAATAAGTTCCTGAAATAGTTTACTTTTAAATTTCCCAAAGAAACCGAAGCAGAGAACCTTCTGAGTCCTGGAGCATCACTGTGGCACCAGACCACAATTCTAAAGGGCTTTGACTCGGTATGGTACTCTTCGGTATTAAGCTTCTGCTCCAGCAAGTATATTCACATGCCATAGTATACAGTGCTCTGTTGCACTCAGCTTGAATCCTTGATATTACAAAATTTTTCAGTAAAATTTGTACCAGGCTTGAATACTGTTAACAAACCTATGAATATACAAATGTTGAGTCCTTGTGAGAAGGCTAGTAGTTGGTATTTGTGGTTTATGAAATGACTATACTAACTGCAACATGAGATAAAAACAAAAGTAGAAATAATGTAGAAAAAAGTAGTATGCCAGAATAGACGTCAGGTCCAGCTGGCCCTCCTGGGTTCAGCAATCACACCTAGACATTAATTTTGGGTGAGGAGCCTCTGGTGTGACCCAGAGTCCAGGAAGTCAGTAGGAGGGACTTTGTCTTGGACTCCAGCTTTCCCTCATTCCTGTGTGCCTGACTTCATTGCTGGGTTCCTGGGTTCTAGGACTGGACAGCTGTATTCATCTGGCTGAGGTTCTCAACTCTGATGGAATTAAAAATCACCCAGGGAACTTTTAAAAGATACTGATGTCTGGACCCTACTTCACACCTATCAAATTGGGATCTCTGGGGATAAAGCCCAGATGCTGGTATTTAAAAAAAGTTCCTCATGTGATTTTCATTGCAGCCAGGACTAAGAACTATGGGAACAGTAGTCTCAGCAGAGTGTTCCAAAGTTGGGAAAGCTGTTTTAGCAGGCCTTGGGTCTAGAACAAGGTATGCATCTCACCACCCGGAACCTAGGTACCGAGGCGGCAGATCCCAAAACCAAGAAATGAGGAAAGACACTTATCTGAAGCTGACTGTGCACTGTGTCCATCACAAGGAAGCCTCTGAGGGAAGTGTCTACAGGTGGGGTGAAAGGCACTAGGTAGCTACAGAAGCAGGTGGTGTGAGGTGGAGAACTTAAAGGAGGAGAGCCTTTTAAGGAGGAGTCAAAGTGAACATTTGAGGGGCAGTTCTCAAAAGTTCTGTAGTAAGAGAGCTCAGGGTTTTTGTTTTGTTTCTTTTCTTTTCTCTTTCTCTCTCTCTTTTTTTTAATGAGCCACATTTTCAGAAATCCATGTGTGTGGCAATGCATCAGTTTTTTAAGCGATGATAACTAAGTGCGGTCTTTATTGTGGTCGCATGAACTTCTTGGTGGGTGATACCCACTGCAGAGGAGGTCTACTTTCCCCAGACCTCATCCTAACTATGTCTGAGCATCTGGATTCCAGTGAAGTCCTCACCAGCAGAAGAGCTGACGAGTCTGGATCTAAGTTCTACCATGCACTGTGAAGACCTGTGGATTGCTGAAAAATGGCTGCATGTGAAGATAAACATTTGGGCTCTGATCATGGTGCTGAAAGCCACCTAAAGAGAGAGGGCAAAGCAGAGAAATTCTCAACAGGACCATGGGCAAATGCTGTGCAACAGTGGGAGAAAGGCTGGTTGCATGAGTTCCTGGCCTTTGAGGCTCCTTGCTCTCCATAAGAAAAATGAATCTTTAGTCTCTTTGCTTGGAATTACCCAGCATGAGGCAGGCTGTGTAGTAGGTATGGGCCCCAGCTCTGGAGGCAGATAGGCCTGGGTTTGATGAATGTCCTCTGGGCTAAGAGTAGTCAAATGTAAAAAATATAGACTTCTAATCCTAAGGGTAAGAGTGGGCTCTGGAATTGCCTTGCTTCAGATTCTGGCTCTGCTGTTAATTTTCTCTGCAGCCCTGGGGAAATGTTTAATTTCTCTAAGTCTCAGTTTTCTCATCTGTAAAACAGGAATAACATTGTATTTAATTGATTCTAAGACACATTTTGTTTTTCACATACTAGCATCTCCATATGTGTCTTACAATCACCATAGGCCAGGCACACACCCTTAAACCTTACATACTACTCTAACCTAAAAATCTCTCTCAGTAAGGATAAAATGATATTTCTAAGTGATAGGAAAGTATTGTGTCATGTTTAATTGGCAGTGTTTTTATTTCTTAGTGGTACATAAAATAATAGTGTATCTTTCAATTGATAGCATCTTAGATTCAATGACATATGATAATATTACCTGCCTCATGATGTTGTGTGAAGATGAAATGGGATAATGCAAGGAAAGGAGTTAACATAGTGTTTTGGGGAAAAGAGATAAGAAATGAATTTTATAGGGTGGGATAGGAAGTAACTGATACTACCAGCCTTGGACAAAAGTAATGGAAAGGAGGTTCTGGGAAGATTATACACTCAAAGGAAAGGCAGATAAAAATCCAGGTAAGTTGTCAAAGGCATC